AGTAAGATACCGAGTCTTCGATAGGAAACCGTCATCGAAGCCAGGAGGGTGCGTGTCTGGCAAGAAAGGGGGGTACAGAGAAGAACTGGACCTTTAAGGGATAGACATAAGAGGGAGGGCCAAGTGGAGGCCAAGAAAGAGGAGCCGCCTATGAAAAGCCTGCTCGTGACCGCATCCCACCGAGGCCGAAACCAAGAGAAATGAACATGGCATGGCGGTAGGGAGGAAGGGTCAACATGCCCAGTGTTGCTCGATGCTGTGTTAAAAGGTGTAGGGGGAGAGCAGATGGAAGTGGTCCAGGAGTGAGAGGAAGGCAGGGAGCAGAGAGGGTGTGGAGTCAGCTCACTCCAGGCGTGCAGGGGAAGAGAGAACTCAGCATCAGTCAGTGGCAGTTGTTCAAATTCCTGAGAGGGGATGTACGTCCCGAGGATGGGGGTGCACTGATAACAAGGCCAAGGCCAAGCACTGGGCAATCTGGGCTGAACAGGCAAGCGGAGGAAGAGTGGTGGGAGGAGACAGCGGCAGTGCCGAGGCAGGAGGAGACCCTGGTTGGTGAGCCCTGAAGTGAGTCTACAAAGACTTAGGAGCCCAATTGAACACACTGGGTGAATGCAGAGGGGGGAGGTGGGGACCAAGCAAGGGGAGGATGGAGAGGGTCAGAGACCGTAGAGACGGAAAGGAGGAGCCGCCGGGAACCGGTGATGTGCTGCTGAGTCTAGACAAGCTCGGATGCCTTGATGGGAGGGAAGACCCCCAGTGATGGAGGGTCGAGCGACAGCCCAGTCGTGGGATTAGCCTTGGCTAGAGGAAGCGACCAGACACTGAGGTCAAGGGCAAGGGGCGGAGGAAGCTGAGCTCTGTGAGGGATCTGAGGACTTAGGAAGGAGATGGGGGTCAGTGGTGGGCAAGGGTGAGGGCGGGACACCGGTTCGATGAGGAGAAGGACAGAAACCCAGGGGTGTTCTCAGCGTCGAGGGCAATGGGTGGACAGTGAGAGGGTGGAAAACCAGAGGAAGGGAAGGGGGGACCCTTGTGTGTCAGGACAGGGGCTTACCATGGCAGATGGGAGGCTCCACAAGGGGAATATGATTATGAATAGAGGGTTCGAGGGAGATCGTGGTGTTTTGGCAAGGAGGCAGAAAGCCTCGAAAGGGGAAATGGAGGCTTGTTGAGTCCACTGACAGACTGTGCACCTAGCACATGGCCAAGACCGCCAGGAGCTGGGATGAGAAGGTATAGCAGCAAAGGCCACCCAGGGAAGGGGACTTGATGACGTGACCAAGGGGCATGGCTGGCTCAGCCGGCAGGGAGCAGGCTGTGCACAGGCTCCCGGAATGTCCATGGACCGGAAAACAGGGATTCGTCTATTGGGAAGAAAAGAGGCTGATCTGACGGGACGCTGGGAAACCGAGGATGGGAAGAGAGATGCAGGCCAGGCAGCCTTACAGGATGGTGGTGGGCTCTGTGGTGCCTCCCACCTTCTCAACTTCTTCATAGAATGTTTCATCCCGTTCTGCCCAGCTTTGCTAACACAGCCCACTCCCACTGAGCCAGGAGGGTGGCCCCCATCTGCCTTCAACCTCCAGAGCGTCACCTCTCCCGTTGCCTCAATGTCCTCATCTCCAGAGATCTCTCCAGAAACAAAAATCTGACGGTGTTATACCCCATCCGAAATCGACCAGCGGCTTCGGTTGCCTATAGAATTAAGAGTCAGCTTCAATGCTTGCCCTCAAAGATTTCCATGAGAGGAGTCAACCGCCGCTCCACCCGCCCGCCCGGAACAAGAGCAGGCTATGGTTGCTTCTCTGGGAACCACACTTCTGTGCCTTTGCATAAGCAGGTCCTTCCGCCTGGGGGCATGCACTGCCTCCTCCTGAGCTGGGCCTGACTCCTTCAAGCTGCAGAAGAAAAACCTCCTCCCGCAGGAAGAAGCCTTCTCTCATCCTGCCTCCCTGCAAGGTCCGCGTGGTGTGCTCATCTCAGGGAGCCCAACGGCCCATGGAATGAGGGAGGGCTCAGAGGGTGAATGGTGCCGGAGGGGAGGGAGGCCCAGGTGGAGGATGGGGGCCTCCTTTCTGGAGGAGTTGGGACTCAGAGAAGGAGTGGGGACAGAACTGAAAGAGGAGGCTCAGAAATCAGGCAGGATTGCTCAGAGAGGGGCTGGGATTTAGGGGTGGGGGTGGGGTGTTCACAAGGGCCCAAGGGTCCAGTGAGCAAGGAAGAAGGGCCTTGGCGGGAGACAAGAGGGCTCAGAGAAGGGGAAGTGTCTTCCATGGGCACAGGAGGTCACCTAACTCGGAAGTCACAGCCTAAGAGCTGCTCTCTGCCCCACCTCTCCTCCCTGCCACCAGCCCAGGCTGGGAGCCCATCTCTCAGACCCTGAGACCAGCCCACCTGCTCTCAGAAGGAGGCCAGGGCTCAGGGCAGAACCGCAGAGGTGGCTTCAGGGACCCCGCAGACATGCAACTGCTGGATATCTGACGGCTGTGTCCGGGGGCTTGAAGCTCATAGCCCCCAGCAAGCCCACCTGTGCCCTGACTTCTGAAACCCTTCTGCATAGTTGGGGTCAGCCAGAGCAGCTACCACAGATGACTCCATGCTTTCTCTCTCACCTGACACCTTGCCCTCCACCCCCCAGTGCAAAACAATTCACGTGCATCTCCTATGTCAATACACCCCCCCGAGTCTGTCCAGAGCTTGATATTGCACAAAGGTTTAGAGAGAGTAAGAGAGAGAGAAAGAGAGAAGGTGGGAAGGGAGGGTGCATACAAGCTTGGTGGCACAGTGGTGAAGGCACTTGGCAGCTAACCAAAGGGTGGCAGTGTGAACCCACCACTCACTCCACAGGCCCAAAAGACCTGGCATTCTTCCCCTGTACTGATTACAGCCTAGGAAACCCTAAAGCACAGTCCTATTCTGCACAAGGGTTCCCTGCATGTCAGCATCTAAGGACACACAACACCGTTCCAGACAGAGAGCCCCATTCTCTGCTGTCAACCTGACTCCGCTCCTGAAGCTTCCTGAATTTTCATAAACAGCCTATCTCATCCCTCCCTGAGCCTCCGTCCTTTTCAGACCCTCACTATACCCCATCCTCTAATCCCCCCAAGTAAAGACCCCTGCTCACCTTCCTGGCAGTGCAGACCACTGGGTCAACATGGCTGCGTCAGATTAGC